GCAACACATTAATACGTAATTATCAGGCATGTACTAGCTGATGTATCTATTGTAGTACTCTAGTACAGACATTATAATCTTTGCCACAACTTTTGTTTACGTAAATAGAAATAGCTACTAGGCTAAGAACCGAGCTCGAAATAAAGACTACCACAGAACAAGGAAGCTGTAACACACCAGAAAAGTGTATTTTTTGGACGGCGTTGATGTGTAAAAAGATAAGCAAACGTAATTTGGCAAAAAAAAAAATTGCTCAGCTACCTCATGAGCAGTTTTAGTTACCATGCCATACAAATACTATGCATTATTAATGTAATAGTTGTTATACATTATCTTGAATCATTTCAGTTTATGTTATACTCAGCAATATGTTAAGCTGTTCTTCGGCATGATGTGGTCATTGTACATAACAGTTCAATGAATCATACCATTAAACTGATATGACAGCGTGAGAACGCATTTATCAATATATTTGTTCCAAAATTCACTTTAACAATATAAATACAAAGCTTTTGGTATTTCCATGGTTGTTGTCTGTGAATTCAACTTGTTATTTTTTCTTTACTTTGTTATAAGCAGTTCCAGACCTACAGAAGAAAGCTCATATCATCAAGAGACCGTACATAATGACAATAATCGGAGACTACCAGGTGTGTTTACCGCCGATTTTAATGAGTACTACAATAGATTGTATCTAATTGATATTAAAAACTGGGTAGGATTGTCAATACACAACAAAAATGAATATGTGGTGTATGAAATAGAAAGTAAAGAATTTGATCCAAATAGAAGAAGCGGTCATTTACATACATACGTCGTTCTAGAATTGAATATAGATGAGTACAAAGAGTTTGTAACGAAAGTTTATGATAGCCTGCGCTCATATTAAATAGTTTTTGCTTCATGTTATTACTTTCTTATTACCAAAGTTTTTGAGTATTACACAAAACATTACTTAAATAGTAATATTGTGTATAGTTCAGTGCTTTTATGGAATTAGTTTCATTTTTAGCCAATAAAGCATAAATCACCACATGTTCTCTCATCAACGGTACCAGCGGGTAGTTATTAATTAAATTAAATGTTATTTAATATAGAACAAACACGCTACGAGCACTCTTTTCACTATTTCATATTAGCCTTCATCTGCGAGATACTTCTTTCTAGAAATCATATAATCGTATAAGTCATACCATAAGTTCCTCTACTAATATTTAATCTGTATTAGATAACCGTTAAAACCACATTACAACTCCCATTATAGACCTTCTAGTGAATATACACCGTATCAAACATGAAACATCATCCTTATTCACTACACGTGGCTATTTGCTTGCAGAATATTTCTGGTTGAAATTAGTTTTGCTGAAACTATCTGTCTCTAATCAGAGCATACAGTTTTATTGGTACGTATGTCCCAACTTAACCGCGTTTGAGACCTATAACATGTACTGTTTCGCTTTATAATAACACGCAATCGTCTATCAGTAGCATGACGTATGCGTAAATATCTATCGGTGATATTGTTATAGGTACCATGCAGCATTCTCTGATTAATTCGCAAATGTTAACATGGCCGTACCCTACTACCCGAATGGATGGTCTTTCACTCATAGAAGTATCATGATAAAATAATTCGTACGCAATTCAAACTGTAGCAGTGTTCCCTGGGATTACAAACGTTTGATACGAATTGCCACACTCCATCCAGTAAAATGGTGTTTAAACCGCACATTGGCTGTATCATAATTTAATTAATTATATTGTACCAATACTGTGAACACTATGCCCATGAACAAATCATTGAGGCTCGTTTACACCCAAAATGAATCCTTAGAGATAAAACTAGTGCGTTATTGGCTGAGTTTAACGCACTGGTTTCATCCCATTCTGATTATAAGGAGAAGATTCCGCGCAAAGCGTTGCACGAGAGAATGCTAAAAGCGCGTTTATATGACATAATCTGGTAAAGCGCGTAAGTATAGGTGTCTACCTGGATGTTGAATGACCTGAGGTGAAGAAAAACATCTTTGGGACCATCAAGAAGCATCGGACAATCTTGAGGTTTTGAACGATAAAAAGAACTTTGAAACTTCCAGAAAGGAATTCGAACAGGTGTTATACTAACCTATAACAGAAATAGCTGCGGAGACAGAATATCCCATAACATCAATGAGAACATGCTTTTAGGATAGTAACATGTATCAAAATACTACTGCTGATCACATGACCACGACATCATTTACTATAAAATAACATTTGATACGATAAAAGTAGTAAAATGTTCTCAGAAATGAAAGCACAGAGAATGAGGGCGAGCCTTCAACCACAAAAATGTCGTGTATCGATGTAAAACCATGCCAAAGGCGGTTATAAAGATGGTGCAAACCGGTCACTTGATACGGTAGAATGTATTTACTTGGTGCACTAACTCCATCAGAAAGACAGAAAGCAATTTAATTCATAGCACTTTGTCACAATAACGCTGGATTGGTCTGATCTGTTTAGTTATGGTTATAGCTCTGTGATCTAATTTATCACACAACCGGATACCAAAATATTTACTTATTTTGTTTGCAAGCATTTATTTTCCAGGCTACGCTGAAACACCCACCCTGTCTCGATGTGTTCAAACGCACAACACATGTTTTATGGACTATCAATCAACCAATCAAGTTTGCTTACAAACAAAACACGCAAATACACAAAAAACTGACCACTAGATAGGGCAGTATCGGCTGGAAACGGTGCTTATTCCGTTTTTCAAGCTGACGTAGTTATGTTACACAAATTTTCCTATCAAATCACTTTTTGGTGATTGCATTTTGTTTCATCTCATACCATAAAAATAAACGCGCTCTAATAAAAACAGAGATGAACATGCAGACAGACAAAGAGCTCTTCGACTTTCTGTCGAATGCACCCAAGGAATTTACCGAAAATGAGAAGATTAAGAAGTTTCAGCTGAAGAACGGGGACTTCATACATTGTGTATTGTGGAACATGCACTTCTATATTACAGGTACAGACATTGTGAAAATACTTGTGTGGCGATTTCAAAATGCAGGTCGGCAAATCGTGTCGCTGAAAAAGTTTGAGGAAGGTGTTTTCAGTGACCTAAGAAATCTCAAACCGGGTATTGATGCAACGTTAGAGGGTCCTCGTTCCGATTTCCTCGAATTTCTGTATAAGAACGGATGTATACGCACCCAGAAAAAGCAAAAAGTGTTTTTCTGGTACTCGGTACCACACGATGCACTCTTCTGCGATGCGCTTGAAAGAGATTTGAGGCGTGAGACCAACCTGTACGCGTATTCTAAATATTACAACAAGCAGGCGTATCCGCCCATGCCCAACCATTTTGCAAAGCAGTTCAACCCGTATGTAGAGCAAATGAACTGGCAGCACCAAAACTTTGCTAATACACATCCTGTTCCCCCTAATGTCAAACCACACCCACCCATTCAAAAACAGCCCCCCAGTAATCCCCCACCACCGTTCTCTGATATAGATTTTTCTCAATGGGAAGAAAAATACTTCGATAGCCAGGTGCAAATGCCGGATTTCAGTGAAGAGAAAACGGATGAATTTGTTGAACCTGATCTTATAATCCCTAATAAGAAAGGAAAGACCGAAAAATAACTTAAAGGGGAATTAAACAGTTTTTGGAAAAGTTATTATATTATTTATGAGTCTGTGATTCGCACAGCAAATAATTAATTTGATAGTGCTTGCATCGTACAATCTTTGTATGGTATGCTATGCATATTCCCAATTTTAGTGTTTATAACAAACACGGCAAAATTTCAGCCATATCCAGCAATCCAGAACATTTATGCTATAAATAGCACTTATATGACGATTTTTGCTGCTGTTAGCATCTCTTTTGCCACAGAAGAATACAAATCTTACATAATTTACTGTGTCCACTTCGAATCCTCACATTGAAGTTGTGCTCAGCATTTATACCGGTATGAACACGTGCTGGTAGTATTTCCAGGAAAGATATTTTACTTATGGTTTATATTAGGAACACCTTTATGGTACTTATTACACAAACTTGGTGATTATGAAATAAACTCGTATAAATTACAACTGTAAAATAAGCACCTATCACGATTCAATAATTTCACCTCTTAAATATTCAAATATGGTAATACTGTTAATATTGCAGTTAACCACACCTTCTATAGTAAACAAAGATATTCATGATCTTGTAAAATACATTTGACCGTAGCACACACGAAGGTAATGTTACTTTCCTTCTTTGAATAATTGATGAAATAATGAAACGATCTGTAAAACCGGATATCAAGAGAAAATTTCCTTAACTCAGGATTAACCAATGAATTGGAACTACGAAGAGCTAGGATTCATTCAACCAGGGCCACAGCAAAAAAACATTTTGATACATGCTATAACACCGTATAAAAAACACGATCATCACAAATCTACCATTTAATTTTCTGCGATATATGGTACAGGTCTTCTGAGCAGAAAAACAAGCACGGAAAACCATGCTGACAATACCAAAGACAACGGTGTGCACCGCACTCAATCTGCATACAGCATGGCACCCGGTATTATGCGTTTTATTTGCTACATATAATCGAAACGTTATTCAGTCACGTTCTTCATTATGCTATCAACCACCCGCTTACTAAATATTTTACATAAGTCTTCCGTTTTACCGATTCTCTTGAATTTCAGATACTCAATGATCTTTAAAGCCCGCTTATCACCGATATTTTTTATCTTTTTGAGACTGAGAAAGTCGGCCTTGTTAAGTAGTTTGAGCAGTTCTTTCTTCGTTATCAATGAGGGCTTTGTTTTAGTGGCGGATAAATTCGATATTTTAGTCTTTATTTGGTCAATTATCTTTCTCACGTCGTTCTTCACCTTGAAGTTCACTAGTTCATGCAACTCATCAATCGTAGCATTATTTTGGTCGTTAAGTTCGTTGCGAGAGGTATCATTTACCACGTCCGTGATAATACCGTGTATTTCCTTGCTTTTTGCATCTACTCCTGCTCCCAAACTGTTTTTGTCCTCCTCGGTCATTTCCAAAAGCATTTTGTAATTTTCCAGCGCTTTTCTTTTGCAGCCTTGTTCTTCAAACTGCCGCGCTCGCTTCAAAATGACGTCAAAAACTTTTTTATTAACCAGCCGGTCACTATTTTGCTCGTTACCATCAAATGAGTGTACTATTATATCAGTACTGCTGAACGTAGTAGAAATATCGCATATTCTGTTCTCATTCACGTCAATCTTTGGAACGCATTTAGCTTTATCATCGCTTATAACGCGTGCACAGTTCTCATCAAATGATTTTACTCCATAAACATCGTTCTTAACAATTTTGTCATATGCACCTTCACTGCTCCTAGTTCCGGTATCCGTGTCTCCGCTTCTGGTAAAAGTAAGTTCCTCCTTCTCTTCATTTGCTTTTACGAAGTCTTCTCCACTTTTTCTCATTTTTTTCTTACTTTTATCACCTTGAACCGCCCTTCTAACAGGTCTTCTTACAGATTCTTTCTCAAAATTAACTTTTTCGTCGAGCACCGGTCTCTCTTTACTACCAAAATTTTTGCCTTTATACAATCTCTCGATAAGCTCGTTGCATCCATCCCTCTTTTCTCTGATCTTGTCCTTCCAAACGATCCGTTTACTCATGCTCGCAAAGTTTAAGGTACTTATTCCCTCTCCCATCATCTCACAGTCATCAACAACTGTGGCCAAGAGCACTACACGACCCTTAAAATACTCTTTCAAATACTTTGTAAGCACACTTTCCCTGAATGGTACGCTTTTTCTCTTCTTGTAGATTGCTGTAATCACATTTCGTAGAACAAACAGTGATTTGTTTATGGTTGATGACTCCTTCATCAGCGAAGGATTCGATTGTGGAGAGTTGCCGGTCTTTCGGTTGTCCTCTGAACCAGCCAGATCAATGAGTATAATTTTGAAAATTTTACCATGATTGGACTTGTTTTGTTGTACGACCATTTCCATTATTGTGTGTGATCGTGACGACTCTTCGTTAAGAGCCGTTCTTTTTCTCACTAGCATGCCTTCAAACGTGCCAACATCCTGCACATTCTCAGTTCGCACTATCACCCGTTCATTATACAGTTCAAAGCACTTAAATTCTAAAATATCGTATGTGTCTCTTATCAACTGGAAGATTCCCTTCTCTTTCTTGTTGCCGAGCATTGTGAAAGTCTTACCCGAGCCCGTACTGCCGTAGCACATTATAGTGAGCGTATTATTTGTGGATGCTCCATCACCACCGGTATAGCTATTGATCGCGCACTCAAGATCGCCCCCACAGACTATTCCCTCCTTCAGATACTCGTATATGCTTTTGTTGCTTTCTTTTACAAACACACGATCAAAATTGTACCTAACACCGTTGCTCTCCACAAATACCTCATTTTTTGCTATTGTCGTGAAGGGCAGTGAGTTGGCGGGCTTTCTGAAGCGAACCAGCACTTTGATATTTGACATAAAGCGTAGCGAAGGGTAAATAAAATGTTTTGTTTAATAATATGGTGAAAGCGGATCGGTTTGGAGAAATAAAAACAGATGTAAGCATTTTTACCCCCTGATTTAAACACTATTTCTCTTAATCAGCGATTGCAAAGAAGGAGATTGTACAAGGGGCGCAGGGGCTATTTATTTTTAATGATGAGCACACATTACACTATGAGCGTGATAAACACCTGCACATACCGGCTAGGCGCATGCCCACCGCCAGCCACTAAAATTTTTTATATTCGCAAATTTATAAATTAGAAAATATGCGCTACCCCCTCGATGTTCTTCATCTCGGAACTCTCCCACACAATACACCTGTCCCCAAACTATTTTGATACCAACTTGCAATATGCCGTGCGCTCACATCTTCTGGAGGAGGTTGAGGGTGCATGCTCATCTGATCATGGCTTTATACTCGCAGTTATATCCATACAGAATGTTGGTGAAGCTGTTCTGAACCATATGGGATCTGTGCTGTTCAAAGTTAAGTACACCGCTATAACTCTCAAGCCTGTGCGCAACGAGGTGATAGAAGCGAAGGTGGACGAGGTTAACAAGATGGGATTGTTCGCGCATATAGGGCCGCTTTCTATTTTTGTGTCCAACTACCAAATTCCAAACAATTTGCAGGAGAGCATCAAGAAGGACACGCTCGTAAGACTGAAGATTATAGGAACAAAAATCGATAAAAACGAGATATACGCGGTAGGGACAATAAACGAGGAATTTTTAGGGGTCATTTTATAGAAAATAGAGAATAATTTAATTTTATATAAATATTAATATAATTAAATTTTTTTTAGAATTGGTCTTGCGATAAGCCGTGGGACGGTGCTTGTATGTGTTAAATTATGCTTTTGAAGCTACCTGGCGGTTTTAGAGACAGTGTATTACAGGGGATGCTTCAGTGGTTGGGCTGTTGCCTAGGGAAACATTTTATCAAATGTTAACGCGGGTTAGTTTCAACAATGATATACATTTAATAATACGTTAATCACGATAGAAATCATGATAGAAATGCCTAAGAGGTACTATGTTATAGTATATATGGAAAATAAATATCTTTTAGTGAAATAAAACAAGTTGTGCGCCATACCTAATACCAACCTGAAAGAAATTTCTCGACATAATGTACAGAAAGAGCAAAAATGATTTTAATGAGATAATCATCATATAAATAAAAAGACAGCTCGGAAGCTGATTGGTCAGTTTTGAGAAAAAATATTGGATATAAAAGCAGATCGTGAATCTTAGAATGAGGTGCAGCGATTCCATTCTCAGCGTTAAGCAATTAACAATTGCTAACTCACAGAAATAAAAATACACAGACCAAGAATAAAATGCCGAATAAATAATGTGAATAGAAATGATATTTATTGTATATTTGAGATTAAGTGTCACTCTGATGCATATTGTGACCCATATTGCCGTTTTTGTTCCCTAGATACTTACGCTGATTCCATGAAGTTATGATAAACATAAAATGGTGCCTCTGAAATTATTGTTACAATATTACAACTGTTTTGGTTATTTTAAGCACGTTCACTAGTACCGATTTAATTGGTACCGCGCCATTTTTTTAACTTAAAGTATGTTTATTTGCATTCGGTCATCTTCACACGAATAAATATTTTCCTGATATGATGCAATTCCATATGCGAAATATTTCACGTACCAACTAAATTTCTGATAAGCGAACTACTTCAGCTCTATGCAGTCATTAATTCATAGAGAAACAGGAACCACAGTAAAGACACAACGAAGGAAACATCTAAAATGTTGGTAGGTAAAAGTTAGAAATATTAGGTTCGGTGCTGTCATACCAGGAGAATATGTGCGTGTATGAGGCAATGGTTGTGTTTAATAAACGAATTTCCACAAAAAATGGGACGGGAACGGATTTAAAAAAACTGTTGTCGCGGTGCATCCCAAACAAATATCTTTTTACGAATAAAATGGTTCTGTAAAACACCATATTTTCAATTTAGGTTCAAATTTGAAGTTCACTCCGATTAAACACCATTCACTGTTATAAATGACCAATTCGTTACTGCATGTTTATTAAAAAATTTGTACCAAAATAGATCAAACAGCTGATTGCTTGTTTCAACCTAATGTTATTTGTTGATTGCGTTATCAAGATGGTGTTCAATTTGTTGCAGTTCGTTCTTAGCATATGATTAAATCACACAGAACCAATGATATTTCGCCTATTTTATTCTTAAAATGCATTGATGCTAGTAGAACAGTATAATCTGTCCTTTCACCGCAATATTATCGAAGGCTGCAGCAACACACCATTCATTCTTCTTGGTGGTCTCGTTAGAATGCACCAATTTGATGCAAAAAGTTCTATGCCATGATAATACGTATTTACTTGCATTATCTCAGTCTTACTGCCATGTTTGTACTAATCCTTTCTTGGTGGCAATTCGTTTTTTAGGATACAATGGAACATAACCTGCCACGTTTTGCGGCTATATAAAATCTATCAATGAATACTGACCATTCTGAATTGATGTAAACAAGCTGGAACAGCGGAATCGGTGGAAAGTAAGCTGATACTAGAACATTATATTCGAAACACATAGGATATAACTAAATCACAAACAATACAATCGCTTAGCGAGTACGTATCGGAGGGGAAGCCCTAAAAGGAAATGCCTGCAAAACAAAATTTTTCACCGGCACGAGAACGGGCGCAAGCACCACGGTAATAACACAAAATAAGTTGCACCGAATCAACATATTCCATAGCCGGAATAGCGATATAAAACACAGATTTGTAAAATTATTTTACTTTTAACATAATTCACTTGCTTTTAGACAGCCTAACAACAATCTGCTTAGAATATACACAGTTTCTCAGCTCATTGACATTCGCCATCAAAACATTGGTAACGCGTTCGCGTGATTTGCTTTCAAGTATTCGTTGTATGACATAATTCGCGTATTTATCCATACTCATTTTCAAAATACAATTACTGGCCAGTAGCTCGTCAAGGATACTGTTCAGTCGCTTTTCGTCGCACATTTTTATGATTTTTTCGATGACATTACTGGCGAACTTGTGCAGGGAAAACGAAAAAATATAGGGCGAGAGAATATCGCTTACGCGCACGAGATACTCGGGCCGTATCGTAATTATGTGCTGCAGCACATAATTACCGTATTGGTTCTCGGCCAGATCAAGACAATTATCAATCAACTTGCCTATTATAGTGCTGCACTCGTTTTTCTCAAAAAGTTTCTGGAGGACACGGCAACCGTACTTATGGTTGCTCAGCTGAATGCAATCGTTGTAGAAAACGCTCTCAAAGTCAATCTCACGCTCTACTATTTTTTGGACAACGTGATTTCCATTGGAGTCATACACCAAATCGAGAATATGTGCTTTCAGCTCATCTGCTATTCGGTGGTAGTACTCACCCCCGCCATTCACATCTTCATCAAGCAGTCGCTGTACAACTCTGCAGCCAAAAGCGTTCACGCTCATTTCCTTATAACATCCCTCCAAGTACTGCGTGATGTATGCGTGACAATCTCGATTTTCAATTAATTTTTGGATAACGTAATTTCCAAACAGATCAGTGCACAGCTCTTTGACCTTGATGTGCTTCACAAGCCATATCCACTCTTCATCGGTGCTCAACTCCAGCCGTTTCTGTATGAATCGGCTTCCCTCCTGATCTTTAACGATGTTTGTGCACGTATCAATGTCTACAACCACATTCTCTTCGTTCTTCCTGTCCAAGTACACCTTTATATCGTTTACAAAGTCTTCCTTGTGCTCGCAGCTGCCCTCTTCTGTAAAAATTCGCGTTAAAAAGCTGAAATCGTCACCGATCGGTGTAAGAGATGACGGCGTCTTGAGAGGATATGCCGTTGAGCATTCCCGCGGGTTATCGTTATCTATCATTTCCAATAGCGTAGGCTTGGCCGTTTTACACTTCCTTTCACTTGTTTTCTCCATCATTTTCATTGACGAGCCGATAAACGGTTTTAAGCGCATGTCCTCGTCATTGTTTTTATTGTGCCCGTAGTACGCGCTCTTCAACGAGTCAATGCTCGTGAGCGAAATATTCTTCTCTTTCAAAAACGTTTCTAACGGTGAGCAGCTCGTGCTAAGAATGGGGCTAAAAATATTTTGTACAGAGTTCGAGCTGCGATACGAGCTTGGAAAGCTATACTTATTCACATTTACATCACCGTTATCGACCAAAAAACTTGCAAAATCGCACAAACAGCTGATTAGCTGCTCATCTGCACACATATCACCATCCTGTTTGGCATTATCAACATGTCTTTCCTCGGTTGTCATGCTGCCTTGCTCCAAATTCTTATGCAAAACGCCGTCATCACAGCCAGTCTTGTCATTTACCGCGTTATCATCGCATTTGTCCGCATAGTCCACCTTGTAACTCATTTCTCTGGCTTTTATTCTGTCATGCCTGTAAGTGTCCATTGGAAGGGGTGTCATCGTCATTATTTATTTTTTATTAAAAAGGGAAATTTTTATAAAGATGATTTGTGTTGGTTATTAAAACAATCAGAAAAGGAGTAAATAAAAAGAAAACGATCAGTTTCACTCCTTCAATGCTTATTTATTTTTATTCTACTATTTTAAAAAAAGTAAATATTTATATCAGCAATCACGTGAATCTTTCATTCGATAAAACATAGTATTGCACTGTAATTCACCATTTTGCTTCGTACTCGACTAACGCTGTTTTTAACACAGTCTTTATGTCCAAATGATGTTATTAGTCAGGATAGTGTCCATTACAGCGATCCTGTTCGGTGTTTAAAAATAACCGATTGGCAGTTCGCTTTAAATACGGTCGTGGTCGCTGGTTGTGCCTGATTACAAAATCCTTTGATTTTTCTCACATTATTTGCACCTTTTCATTGTTTCATGTTTTGATGTTTGATACTTAGCAATTTTTACAGTCTCAACGGCTTATCAAAACTTACGCTCAAAATTTCCTTATACTTTCATAACGTATACCAGTTAATAGCAAATCGTTATTCTAAAAAAATAACTAACGATACAGGAGTTGGCTAGGCGTAACTACAGCTTTAAATTATCTATTAGACTCAATTTCTGGTAAATTCCTTATTAAAAGCAATCTTTCCGTGAAGTAAGATGCCAATTTCATGTTCTAAAACAAATAAGATTGATATGCTAAAAAAGGAAGTGTCAAAAAAATTAACAACTGATCATGATTGACGGTAAGATATAATGTTAATTTTGTGTTTCGTTGGTTTTACATTCGAACGTAAAGACTTTTCGATATGTTGGTTGTTGATTTTATGTTTATATGTGTAAAAAACATGCAGCGATTAAAGGATCTTTATTTTTAAAAAATATTTTTTTACTCTTTTTTTGTATTAAAATTTTTACAAAATGTTTGAACATTGATGGCCATAAGATTACACGATGTTTTGGGTAAGTATTCCGCAGTACGATTGCTCTAACTCGTGCATACGGATCTTACGTGTTGAGTTGTTGTGTTTGACCTCACTAAAAATTTAGCAACTAATTATTTTATCATCAGACGGTTAGTTTCAAAACTTTTTAACAGAAATTAATAGCAGATACACTTATTATAATATGAGTCGTACTATTCCCGTTTATAAAACAAAACATGTTTGGTTATCTATGGAACACTACCCTTGTCCTTTAATATGTCATGCTATATTTTTTTGTTTTCATTTCTGACTGCAGCTAATAAATTAATTTCGGATCTAATTATGCCATTTTTGGGTGCACTAATATTTGCGTACGACATTTACTCGTGATTAGAATGCAGAAATAAAAGTATTGATACTTCTATTCGTGTTTGATTAAAACCAATCACCAAGTTGCTTTAGTATACAAGATACAATTCTGAGTACTCTTGAAAATTACAGCGTAGAATTCCCGAAATATAATAATAAATGTTGCAGAATATCATATTAAACGCTGTAATGCTCGGTTTTACTGTAAATAGAGTTTTATTTATATTTTTGCAGCAAGTCTAATACATATCTGTCATTCCTTCTCAATCAAATGCCGCCAACAAAAAAGGAACGAAAACAATAAATGCAGGTTGAGAGGTACACCTAATGCTAACAACGAGAAAATTACCCTAACCTAACTTTATACAACACATCACCATAGGTAATACTAACAATTATACAACTACTATAAAATGGTACAAAGAAAGGTATTCAACCGACACAAATGTAATCATAAATTACATGGGCTTCCGCTGGACTATTTTCACGTAGAAGAGCTGCCAACCTGATCAATAAAATTTGTTACCGTACTTCCTTGGTAGGCATATACTTACTTCCCAAGTCATCGCGATATTGTTACCCTTACCAGAACAGAAAGATATGATGCAACCGCAGCAGTGATAATAAAATGTGTATCGCGATTTACATGATGTATTCTTCAGGAACACTCCGAAAAACTATCCATCTCGGTATTTTCAGTTAATGTGCAACCAAATTTTGTTCTATTCTATCAACAGAAATAGCGCAGCTAGTAAAGGATGAGATTAGTTTATATTTTGAGTAAATTGAACGGATTTGCAGAATCGATCAACGCACTTGACTATATGATGTGTAGATAATGATTGATCAAGGAAATCGTTCATTATGTATCTTAAACGCGTATAAATATTGCTCCTAGTACCGATCTATCGTTATTGTCTTACATGCGGTACTGTTTATAGGAACAGTGTTACTGAGAAGTAGACAATTACACTATTCC